GGACCATGTTTTTCATTACAGTAAATAGGTATATTTATATAATATAATAATATTTAATATTTACACTATGACATTTCATTACATTAAATATCAGTATATTACTGAGAACATTTCCTAAACACATTAAATATCTTTCTACAAATTCATTTTTAAACTTCACATATGGATGTATGATAATTTATTTATCTAACTCACTATTGTTAAATTGAGATAGTTTCCAATTTTCAACTCTTACGAAGAAACACAGTTAATCTACAGGTATCTCATTATCTTTGTAGGGAATACTAGAATTGCTGAGTCAAAAGTCATGCAATTTACAAGGTTTTTTAATAATTTTCTGAAAATTGGTTGTTCCTATAGGTTATCTCAATTTATATTTTCTCCAATCATTCTTGATAGTATAAAACAATTCAGCTTAGTTAAGGAACAGAATGGAATCTTCTAGAGAGGGGAAAAGATCCACAAAACCTCATTGCCATCAAGACAGAAAGACTCAGAGCTGGCCTTTCACTGGGTTTCCAACGATGTTGGAAAAAACACAGGAGAAAATTGCCTGTATTTCTTCCCTAGAGCTGTTGGTGAATTATTTAGAAAATAGTTCACATATAGACTTGTCTGGTATGAACTTCTACTACGAACACTTCCCCCTCTTAGCTGGATAAGGCTACGTACTGTATTCTAACAGAAGTGACCTTTGCTACATACAACCTTTTCTCTCTTTTTTATTCCACTTTTGCTATGTTATGTACTTTCTTTTAAGAGCTTATATTTTATTAAAACCCCTTTTAATTACTGATTTATTTGAATGTATATATCAGGATTTTTCCTCCCAGACATGCAATTTGCAATACTGTCTTTTTAGGCCCTCGTGAAGTTTTAAGAACTCTTCATGAGATTTAATCACTAACCTTAGAATTAAATCCTTGGCTTTCTCAGATATAGGTACTTCCGGTGGAAATACCAGTGTTTCTTTCCAGTTCATTACTTTTCTGTATGTTTCTTGAGGTGTTTCAGAGCAGAAAGGTGGATATCCTACATCACAGAGAAATCAATTTTGTCACCTTTGCTTAGCTAATGTGTTACAATCTTTCATATGTGCCAAAACCCAAAACAACCTTGAATGCTCTATTTAACAATTAAAAAATACCACAATATTTCAATTTATAATTACCAATAAAGTCAATAAAACAAAAGATTTAAAGCATTATACTCTTTTTACTCGAAAACACAAGAAGATAAAATTTTGACACCTGGAGAGATTGGGTTAAATACCTCCCTTCCTAAGAGGATCCTTGGACACTTTCTTAGTATTTATCATTATGCATTTATTTAACACTGGGTGATATGGGAAACAGGTTTCTAAAAATTCAGCCCATGCGTTCAACAATACCACTCAGGCACACTTACATATGTGTCAATAAATTAATGTTAAAACATACCTATCAGCATTTCATACATAATCACTCCCAGAGACCACCAGTCACATAATTTGTTGTAACCAGTCTGCATGAATACTTCGGGAGCAATGTAGTCTGGTGTGCCAACTGTGGAATATGCCTGCAAAGCAGAAGTCTGTCAGACCAGAAGGTTCATTATTAGAAACATTTACATATACGTTAACTTTTTCCACTTCGTACATTTTTCCTTTGGATTTTGTTGGGTTTTTTTTCTACCATTAATTCCAACTGGTCCATGCAATTAATTACAATGTTTTAACTCATTCAGTACATTTTTTTTGCATTTTTATCTGAAGAAAGGCTCAGTGATACTGAGGAAGATAAAATATAAGTAATTATTTTTGCCCCTTTATCTCCACCTAGAAGCACATATAGGTTATATAACTACCCTAAATCTATTTAAAAAAGAAATGAAAAAGATGAACTCAGCCTAGCTTTCCTCATTTACTACTTAGGGGTTCTTTAAAGTCTTACTTTTGCTCCCATAAAACTGAAGTAACAGTATCTGTCCTACTAGAGTTGACATGAGGACCAAATATGAAAATAAATGTGCATTTTAACCTATAAATTATATACACATCAGATATTTTAATTATACATTTAATTCCACGACTGCCTTTGGTAAAAATGATTAACACACTTATCAGCTAATGAGAGGTGTCTGAGAAGGAAAATTTACTTATCTACTTCTGAAGAATAAGTTACTTAAAATCTTATGAAAGGGAGCTCTGGTGACGTAGTGGCAAGGTACTGAGCTGCAATCTCAAAGGCAGATGGTTCAAGGCCACCAGCTGCTCTGGGGGAGAAGATGGACCATCTCCTCCTGTGCAATTAACTGCCTCTGAAAACCTACTGGAGGGTCAGCTATGGATCGATTCTGACTTGATGGTAAACAACAACAACATCTTAGAAGTATACAACATCTTAGAAGTATACAGATCTACTCTGATACACAGGAAGTTGCCCTAAGGTTAAACTGACTGAATGGCACCTGGCTTTTGGTTTATCCATCAGGAAGTTAAGTAGTTTTCCATTCTTAATTCATGTAAAATCTTACAAACAAAACCTAATCATTTTAATAGCAGTAGTTCTTAACTAGGGTAGTTCTCTAGGGACTATGTGAAAATGTGTAACAGGAGTTGTTGCTGTCATAGTGACATGGGAGAGAGTTTAAAATTGGCATTTTAGTGGGCAGAGAATACACGTGCAAGAGCGTTGTTCTAGCAAGCAACAAATGCTGGCGAGGTTGTGGAGAGACTGGAACCCTTATTCACTGTTGGTGGGAGTGTAAAATGGTACAACCATTGGGGAAAGTGGTGTGGCGCTTTCTCAAAAAGTTGCAAATAGAGTTACCATTTGACCCACAATTCCACTACTGGGAATATCCCTAAAGAGACATAAATGACATCCAAGCAGATATATGCATGTCCATGTTTATCGCTGCTTTGTTCACAATAGCAAGGAGTTGGAAACAACCTAAGTGCCCATCAACAAACGAATGGATAGAGAAGTTCTGGTATATTCACACAATGGAATACTATGCTACATTGAAAAACAAGGAACTCGTGCAATATTATTCAAAATGGGTGACCCTGGAGAACATTATGCTGAGTGAAGTGTCTCAGTCACAAAAGGATAAACACTGCATAGTGCCACTGCTGTAGAATGAGGCTGACATCAGAGTGGGGGTAAGACTGAGAAAAAGTGGATAAATTATGTATACTGTATTGAAGCTGATGAGAGAGAGAAAAGTTTAAAAGTAATATATTTTAGGGCATTATGATTATTATCATAAGAGTCCGGAGTGAGGGTTGCAGAGTGGAGTATACTCGGGATGGGGGGGCTGGTGCGCGGGACGATTGTATACCAATGAAGGAGTTTTTCTTTTGCTTTTCAAGGAGAAGAGTGAACTAGGGGTGGGGGTGGGGAAGGTGGGGAGAAAAGTGCAACAATGAATGAATGGAAATCTAAAATCTCTGTAAATGTTCATTGAAATTAATTAAAAAAAAAAGAGAGAGAGAGCTGTTCTGCTTCAAATACTAATACAGTCCCCTTTCTTTCCCCTTCTCTGGCAAACAGTGATGAACACATGAATATTGGCTATGAGAATAGTCGAACATGCACATGATTACTAATCCGTGATTATTTTTTGATACTTCTCCTTAACATATTTTTGAAATTACTTTTTCCCCTTTAAAAGTAGAAAATACTATAAAACTTTTTCTTAGCTGTAAATCTGATCCAAGAGTTTTTGTTGCTGTTGTTGCCTTTAAAAGTGAAGCAAGTTTCCTTCTGTAATGCAGCGTTCAATACATTTTAAACACCAAGGTATTTTACAATCATCGGAAGCTTATGATTACTTTGGCTAATGACAGAAAGAAATTAAGAACTAAAGGTCATTTTATTTTCTTTTAAAGGGTATCAAACTATTTTTTTTCTCTCTAGACTACTTACTTTCCTGAAGGAAGGTTAAATGCGTCTCCATTTCATGAGTTGGTTGGATACAACAAATATTTATAGAGTGACTATATGGGCCAGACATTGTACAAAAATACAGGACAATAAAGTACTAAAAGCACATTTGTAATCTTGTTCATAGTCATACTCAACAGGATGCAGGGGAGACAATTCTTATATTGCTAAGTAACAGAAGGAAACAGTGTGTGGTTAAAAATGGCAATGGGATTTTACATTGAAAAATAATAACATTTACCTACGGCTAAGTCTGCTTTCAAATTTTATTTTCTCTATTTATTGTAATACTGCCGATATCCAAAACCTCCTGTTACCTTTGCCTATAAAGAATTTCCTGCAAACACACAATCATCACACATGCTAACATTACTTGTTGCCTCAGAATTCCATCATATAAATAATATGAAAAAATGGAAATCATGAGTCATTTACCTCAAGTATACTATCTTGGTATATTTTATCTGAAAGCTAATTGCTAGTAAGGAAACAGGCTACAGAATCATGGATTTTCTCAATAAGTGCTAATTTAAAGTTATATCATGAAGTAAAAATTAGCTTTCAACGTTATAAACAAAAAACACTTTACAGAGAATCTAAAAGAACAGTATGATCCTATAAGAAGCTCCATCTGTGTCATGTAGAAAGTATTTCATTGTGAAGATACAAAATGATCAAAGGGTACTTTAGATCTAGGGCTTAAAATTTTCCTCAAAAACATGACTGACTCACCAGCTGTCTCCTGTTCTTCTTCCATGTTTCTGCTTTCCTCTTGGAGTTCATGTTCTGAAATGCTAGTATCAACAAGACAGAATTGTCATTAGGAAGAAAAACTCTCACCACAAAACAAATGCACACATATACATTTAAAACCTTGTTCTAAAGAAAAGGAAGGAAAGAGAACCTCAGATCTCAACAGTATTGAATGAAACCAGCTATTATATATTTTAACAATTAAATTTAGTTATTTTCCTTTTTTTAAATTGTTGCATATTTTCTTCTCTCCCCTCCCTTAGCCCACCCACAAGGCTCTACTTATTCCGGATTGTTGTCATATACACACAGCCATCGTATTTTAAAGGAAGTTCTACTAGCAATGTCTGCAGAGGGTTGCTATGCTAACAGAAAAGGTGAACTCTCTGGTGATTAGAATCTGCTGGAGTTCCAGCAGGAAAAAGATGGGCAGCCTCCTTCCATGTGATTTACAGCACTGGAGGCCCAATGGAGTGTCACGTGTGAGTCAGTTCTGGTTGGATGGCAATGAGAGGTGAGTTGAGTAATCATACTTAGAAGCAAAACAAACTTACAGAAGTCACTTGGTGGGTTGTGTGTGAGGTTTCTGTAGAATTCAGTCCTATGAGCTTTCTTTAATCCCGTGCATAAACCGAAATCAGATAATTTTACATGACCCTAAAAAAACAAAAATCCAGTAAACTCAGAGATTATATTAACTAGAAAGCAAAAAGCTTTATTACAAACCCTTCTTCTGAATATACTTGTTAGAAATTGTAGTTAGAGTTCATATAGGAGAAAATGCTGTATTATAAATATTTGATGATGGTAATAGGAGAAGAAATAAAGTCAGTCATATTTCCTTCCTGTCGTTCCACCCTACTCTTCCACTGCACCATTCCATAAAATAATGTAGTTTAGCAATAATATAAATTGTAGTGGCCCAATCAGAAAATCAGCCCATCGCAAAGTAATAAGCAAGAAATTACTAATCCACCACTTCATTCACATGCCTTGGCATCCAGTAAAAGGTTATCTGGTTTAATATCTCGATGGATGAAACCCAACTGGTGAATTGCATCTATTGCTAGAACAGTTTCTGAAATATAAAACTGTGTTTCCTCCTCTGTTAATGTATCTTTCTTCATTAGCAATGTCATCATGTCACCTGAATAAAGAAAAGAAAATATGTTATTGTATGTTATTGGAAATACCTTATAAACACTTTTTTGGCATATATCCAATAAATATGTCTTATTTACATTTTATAATACATCTAGCATGCCTAGGGAACACTGGTATCCTAGTGGCAAGAAGCTGTACTGTAATCCCAAAGGCACGCAGTTCAAATCCACCTTCTCTGGGAGAAGGATGAGCGCTCTCCTCCCGTGTGATTAACTGCCTCTGAAAACCCACAGGAAGATCAGCTAGGGGTCGGTTCCTATTCAACGGTACACAACAACAACTAGCATATCTACTTCTAACCATCCCTAAGTCAAATAAAAAAGAAAACTTTCATGACATTTAATGATTTTAAGGTACAAAGCAAATCAGAGTATTGTTCACTAAATTTTTTACTGATTTAATATCCATAATTTAACTTTCATTAACTCAATAATTAGTTAATAGATAATTCAGCAACTAAAATGGTAAGGTGCTGCTGGAAATATGTTAAACTGTGCAAAATAATAAGAACAAACACACTTAGATTCTGGAGGCAGTCTTTCAAATTCGAGTTTTAAAAATAACTCAAGTTCTTGAGGTCCATCAAAATAGGATTTCACCCAGCAAAAGAATCATTGTTATAGAAATATTATTTTTAATCTAGACCTGACAATTATCATATTTTTTCCACATGTACTTTGAGTCTTAAAGTCACTTTCTCTCTTCCTCTTTAGAGAAGTATTATCTTATAACTATAAGATAATATTATAAGTATTATCTTTCACTTTCAGTGCTATTTCTCTTTAGAGAGTAATTATTATCTTAGTTTAGGTTTGCTTATCTCGTTCCAGCTTTTTTTTTTCCAGATTATTTTCAAGGTATAGGCACATGTAAATTAATTTATGGGACGATATATTAATTTTTAATTATATAAATGATATCAAGCTCAATCTATAATTCTATAGCTTGCTTTACTCATCCTACTTGATGTTTTGGGATTGTCCTGTTAACTACATGTATACATGACTTTCAACTAACATAAAACATTCCATTATATAATTAATTGTGCCACAATATACTTAACCATTATTCATCTGAAGGGCAACGAACAGTCTTATACAATACCGATCTCTTGTACACCTATGGGGAGGATTCATTAGGTAATAAATTTAGTTGTAGAACTGCTGAATAGTAGAACATTGAATTTTCAATTTTAGTGGATACTGCAAAATTCATCTCTGTAAGACTTAGAAACCAACTTGCACGTTTGTCCTCCACAGGCTCACCAATACTGAGCATTGTCAGACTTTTTATTTTTGTGTGTGGTGGCCTAGTGGCAAGAAGCTGAGCTGCAATCCTGAAGGCTCACAGTTTGAGGTCACCAGCTGCTCTGTGGGGGTGGGGTGGGGGTTGGAGAGGATGAGCAATCTGGTCCCTGCAATTAATTGCCTTTGAAACCTTGAGGTAGGGTAAGCTATGGTACACAATAACAACAACAACAACAACAATTTATGCATATACAAAACATGAGTGAGATCAAATCTTTTCCTAGACTTACTGACAAGCTAGGCTTTCTTATTTTGCACACTGTCTATCATTTGTCCATTTTCCACATGTTTGTTTACCTTTTTATTTATTGATGAATTGCTTTTAACTCTAGACTTCAAGTAATCTACTAATATATAGTGACTCCATAATGGTGGTATTTATAATGTGAGAACTTCATGATTCCTTTAAAATAATCTGATTTTTCTCAAAAGTGATTACTATGGAAGGAAATAATGACACACCTTGAGGATGTACATCTAAAGGTGTTTCAATCACTATTGCTTGTATTTACTTTACCTCCAGGGAGAAATTCCATGATTAGATAAAGGTTCCTCTTATCTTGAAAACTGTAAAACATCTTCACTACCCAGGCACCATCTGCTTCTACCAAAATATCTCTTTCTGCTCTGATATGGGCCACCTAAATAAATACATTTTGAGAAAGAATTGTAACAAATTATGCATTTTTCAAGTTTACCTTTTAAAATTATCTATCCAGTTCCTTAAATGTCATGAAGGAAAGCTAAACATTTGGAACATAATGTTTGAAACATTTCACTTTTCTGCATTCTCAGTGAATATGGAGAACCTCAGGAAACAGTTTTAGCATGCATGTCTAGGACAGAAAATGTGAGGTCCACAAATACGAGAAGCTCAGGCCTTGGAGATAAATCAGTGATTAACCTGAAAGCTTTCAAACAAGAATCTCCACTCAGCCAATATCCTGGCTTTGTTACCACAAAGTCAGGCTAGTTAACAAACTATTGTTCATTGTTAACACTTGACTTTTTAAATTTGGTTGACTTTTTCTTTTTTTTTTTGGGGGGAGGGTGAAATTCTCTGGCGTTTTCAAAAACAATTTTTTAAAAATTCATTTTAATGAAAGTTTACAGAGACTTAGGGTTTCCAGTCATTCATTGTTGCACTTTTCTCCCTACTCACCCCCTCTCCCCAATTCACTCTTCTCTTTGAAAAGAAAGAAAAACTCTTTAATTGTTATGCAATCCCTCCCCCCAAGTCCATTCCACGATGCAGCCTTCACTCTGGACTTCTGCAATGACAAGAATACCCATTCATATATCCCTTTTAAACAGTTCTCTCTCTCATCTGTTTCAATGCAATATACATCATGCCTCCCCTCCTTTTCTGTCTTCCCTCAACCCTGATGTCAGTCTCATTTTACAACAGTAGCCCTATGAAATATTTGTCCTTTTGTGACTGAGATATTTCACTCAGCATAATGTCCTCCAGAGTTATCCATTTTGCATAATATTTCATGAGTTCCTTGTTTTTCCATGTTGCATAGTATTCCATTGTGCGCATATATCAGAACTTCTCTATCCATTCATTTGTTGATGGGCATTTGGGTTGTTTCCAGCTCTTTGCTATTGTGAACAAAGCCGCAATAAACATGGGTGTGCATATATCTGCTTGGGTGGCAGTTATGATTTCTTTAGGGTAAATTCCCAGTAGTGGACTTGCTGGGTCAAATGTCATCTCTATTTGTGGTTGTACCAGTTTATACTCCCGCCAAACTGTGAACAAGGGTTCCAGTTTCCCCACAACCTTGCCAGCATTTGATGTTTGCTGTTCTGCTAAATTTTGCTATTCTTCTGGGGTGAGATGATCTCTCATAACTGTTTTTAATTTGGTTGACTTTTTAAGAAACTGAAACTTCTATATTATAAAACATTAACTCACTATTATGTAAAACACCTATAAATATGAGCTATAGCAAATGTGGGTTTTTGTCACCAATTTTTAAGCAGCACACAATTACTTAGGATAAAATTAAGTGAAAATGAATGACTGAAAAGTTTTATAACTGTATAATTTATGGAGCTGGAAATGGAAAGGTCAGTGGTTTGAACCCATCAGTCTCCCATGGGAGAAAGTAGTGGTAGTCTGGTTTGAAAAGGAAGTACAGCCTTGGAAATCCAACAGGACAGTTCAACTATATCACAGGGTCACTAGGTGACTGGTGGCCTCGTAGTAAGGAGATGCCTTGCCAATCCAAAGGCAAGTGGTTCAAATCCATTAGCTGCTTCACAGGGAAAAAATGGGCATCTCCTTCCATGTGATTTATTGATTCTGAAAACCCTCTATAGGGTCAGCTGTGATTTGGTTCCAACTCGATGGTACACAACAGCAGTAGGAAGAGTCACTAGGAATTGGAATCAACTTGATTTGATTTTATAACCAATATCACTGACTATGTATTGACTACTCTGCAGATACTTTTGCATTAAGGTATTTTCTATATTCTTTCTTAAAGTTAATTAATAGCAAATTTTTATTTTCTGCTTCTGCTTCTTTTAATGTGCACCAATATAAATTCTGACTCCAAAACACAAGAGGTTTGTCTCTGCCATGCATTTATGTTTTCTTCCCTTTCTCTAGTAATATTGTGCTTATCACGCCCCTTATCCAACTTAACGTGCCTAATATCTGGCTTAGTTGTAAGGAACTGTATTGCCAACACAAAGGCACATGGTATGAATCCATCAGCTGCTCCACTGGAGAAAGACAGGCAATCTTCTCCCATGTGATTTACAGCCTATGAAAACCCACTGGAGGGTCAGCTACAGATCAGTTCCAGTTTGACAGTAAACACAACAACATCTAGTGACAGGTATTCCTTTCCTACTATTTCTAGTTACCATCAAAGGATGTTCCTTTCTAAATAGCTGTCAACATCCATTTGAATGAACTATAAAAAATCCTATCCACATTCCCTGACCTTTTATGCATCTCCAATGGTTCTGTTTCCTCATTATACCTTAGCTACCCATGCAACCTTCTTGTCCTCATCACCAATAAGCACATCTCTTCTAAAATCTGTTTTAAGCAACCTTCTTTCTGATTTCCCCCTTTTATCTTTGCCTTTTTCTAAAACGTCAACCTCCATTCCATAAACTTGACTGCTTTTTCTCTTTTATCCTCCTCATGACCTCCTTTCATTCTCCACCCAGTAGAGATTCCAAGATTACTATAATTATTTCTTTGCAAATGATTTGGATGCGCTTGTCCTCTCTCTTCAATGTATGTATCTGGCAAAACACCAACTTTGATTAGACCTAAATTTCTATCCATTCGGTGCCTGCCCCTGAGTAAGTACATATAACCAGAGAAAAACACCCAACTCTACCAAACATTTTCATTTTAAATTTGTGACTACAAATTTCAGTCAGTATACAAACTATTACTTCCCTAGCAATTCTGCTTTCTCATGCTTCCTAATGACTATTTCACAAGTTTTCTCTCTTGAAACCTTTTAAGAAATCATCCCTTTAAAAACTCTTAGCTGATGTCCTCACTTGCACTCATATTCAAACTCATAATTTTCCACTGCCAAATCTACCAACTATCCTGCATTTGAAAGCATTGGAAGCAGGAGTGGCATAAACAACATGCTTCTGGAAACTCTATGTACTTTGAGAAATATTGATAGTTGTAGAGGGGCTTCAGGCCGTTTGTTCATAGGGTCGCTATAAGTCAAGCTCAACTCAAAGGCAATCAACAACACGACAATAATCCTGCATTTATCACAAATTTCTGTATCTTTTTTTTCTTAAGTGCCATCAAGTTGGAACAATCTGCTAGATGACCCTCTCGCGTGTTTTCAGAGGCAGTAAATCACAGGGGAGGAGACTGCTGATCTTTCTTCCATGGAGCAGCTGGTGGCTTAGAACTGCATGCCTTTCAGCTAGCAGCACAACTTCCTAAAAATATATCCCCCTCTTCTGCATCTTCAACTTTTTCCTTTCTAACAAATAAAACCTCTCTTATCCTAGATCTCACATTATCAATCAGCCCCCTGTTCTAATTCACATGAAAAGTAACTTCTTTCCCACCCTCTTCTCTACCTTTCAACATCAGTTTTGACTGAAACTGTCCATGTCAACTTATTAAAAATTTCTGTGTTGTGAAACCCCATGGCCTATCCTCTTGCTCCTTCTTATCCAGCCACATTCAGCATCATTGACCATCCACATCCTCCTTAAATCCTTTCGCTCTTGACTTCCTTGACAGCACATTCTCCAAGTTTCCTACTTGGTTAAAATGTTCCTTCTTAGTCTCCTCTCCTAGTCCTCTTCTGGCTAGTGCTCCCTAGACCTTGGACTTAGGTATTCTTCCCTCTATACTGTCCTGAGGCAATCTCACCTTGTTTCCTTGCTTTCCTGTTAAAACAAGTATAAACCACATTCACATCCTGGCAATGAAATGATATAGAGTCTCTTAATTAATCTCTCTGCTTCAACTCTTGCTTCTCCTATAAACAGATGACAAGAAACCAGATTATACTACTCCCCTGTTTAAACAAAACCAAACCACTTCAATGTTTTTCCATTATACTCAGATTAAATTCAAACTGTATCTATGGCTTTGAAACCCTACCTGATCTGGCCCCTATCTTCATCTCCACCTATTCTCTGCTAATTCAAGTCATAAGAGCTTCTTGCACTTGTTTTGGCATTCTTTTTATTATTCTAGTTTCAAGGCTGTCTACTATCATTTCTGTCAGGACTGTTCTTCTATTAGATCTCTGATTGTATCATTCATTCCTTCTTATTCTTCAGCCTCAGGTTACATACCCCATCCTAGTAGAGACCATCTATGAACTGTTCTTCCTCCTAAATACTCTATCACCTTCTCCTTCAGGAAAAAAAAATTAAAAATCTTCACATACTTGTTAATGATGACCACTGAACAGCTTTCTAGTTGCTCTAGTATTAACCCACACTTACCTAGTTAATCATTGTATTCCCAGAACAGTACTTGACACACCACAGACAACCAATAAATACTTGCCGATTTAATGAAAATACAAAACCAAAGAATGACACCATAAACCAGATGCTCATGCGTTATAGTTAAACATTATATTGCTGTAGTAACAAACTAAACTTTAGGGGGGGCCTAAAGGACTAAAATAAAGCATAACACAGAGAGGTACTATCTCTCTATCCCCACTGTGAATCCTTCACTAGAATACGTATTCAAAGTAAGGTTCTAGATAGTTCACCCAAACAAGAAACATAAATAAACTCACAAAATAATGTTATAGATTTTTTTCCTATTTTATGGCCATGATATAAAATTGCATTAAACCATAGGAAACATGGATAGAGTCCAGGAACATAAACATAAATGGTTATAGATTCTGAGTATATATCAAATCAGCAAAATTTCAGCCAACTAATTTTACTTAATTCAGCAAATTAATTTTACTTATTCGATGTATGATAAAAATGGAGATTGCCGAAAACGGTCCTTTATTTTTTATTCAAGTCAGAAAATGATACTTCAGAAGATTTTTGTATTAAAAATTCAGAAGAAATTCTGACTACAAGAATTGAACAATATTAAACAATCTACCAAAAAATTAATACAGATCAATTTCTTTACTAAAATGTAATACTTATATTTCTAATTCTTTTATATAAAATAAATTCTGTTTCTGTTCCTATTTCTATTATAATGATCTTTGGGGTTATATGTACTTTAAAACAACATATACCTGTTCTTTTTCAAGCATATCAGCCTTTCTCAATATCTTCATTGCATAGATATGGCCTGTATCTTTCTTCTGGACCAGCCTTACCTAGAATATAAAAATGTTATGAACATTATACTATCATTACTATTTTCTTAGGTGTGAAATGCAAGTTCTTTTATAAAAAGCAGCAATTTGCCATTGTGGGTAATTTGAGACTTATTAGAATACATATTTTAAACTTATCTTTAAGATAAATCTGTATTTTTCTGTAGCTGGTCTGCAGATAGTAAGTTGAATAGGATGTCCAAAGAAGACAACTGAAAAAAGCAGCACACCTCTCCAAAAGCTCCTCTTCCTATAACTTTCAGAGATTCAAAGTCATCCAGGCCAAGTCTGGTCCTCTTGAGCCGTAAGAATTCTGTTTCTTTGCGAGCATGTTGTGACCGGCGTAACTTTTTCTATTAAAAAGACAATTTACAAAGATAATTTTATAATTAGATTGTTTCAAAGGAAACCTGTCATATTCAAGCTAGTCCACTGAAAAATGAAAATATCACAAATTCAGACTAATGCTACAACAGGGAGCTCTGTCTGTACTGCCATCCCAAAGGCACACAGTTGGAATCCACCAGCTGCTCCGTGGAAAAAGGATGGGTGACCTCCTCCTATGTGATTTACTGCCTTTGAAAACGTTCTGGAAGGTCAGCTATGAGTTGATTCCAACTTGATGGCACACTACAACAATGGTGCTATAATTTACTTATCTAAATATTTATTAAAAGTGAAAAGAATTAACAGCCTAATTAAGATCTTTTCTTAATCCTGACAATTGAGAATTTTAGCTCTAGAGATGGATGCTATAGGTATTTCATCTGATCGAAAGGGCTGTTGTTAAATGCCATGCAGTAGATTTCTACTCAGAATACATATCTACTTATTCTTTCTTCTATATGTTAATATATAAATAAAAACTCAACTTTAGTAAACACAAACAGAATGCTGTTACTGATGTTCATTCTGCCAGGGAATCTACCTTGCATGAATTCTTAATTTCAAAAGTTGCTCTGTAATAGCTACTGAGACTTATGACACACCTCAGTAACATAATGACACCATTTCCATAGTGATTTATTTATAGTAGAACTTTTTCTCAAGAAAATTTTAATAAACTGCTTGAGATTTGGCACATAACATCCTAAAAATATTAAATCAGAATATAAAATATTAAATTCCTTCATAGTTTTGAGCTTTATTTTTCTTCCCCTTACCAAACAAGAGTCTGTTTTTCAACACAGTTAATTCCTAGAAGAGTTAGAGTGGGAAAGAAAAAAATCAGTGAAAATACTACACTCTTGTTCATCCTCAAGTGTTATCTATTAAGCTTTTCAGTGGTTCAGTTCTGAGAGAAAAAAAGTTAAAATAACAAATGAGCATAATAGTTCAGACACATGACTTCTAAAAAGTAGCTCAAGACATAAGCACTGTTTAGTTCCACTTCTTACTTCTGTGTATACTGTTTTTTAAAAGGGTAAGAGGAATCATTAATCAGACACATGTCAATGTAACTAAGAATCTACAAATGGATATATAAGCACCATGAACAAACATGGGGAGGCAAAAGGAACAATACTACTACTACAGATGTGATATTTCTTTCTACTTAAAATATATCCATGTGTATAGTAAAGAAAATGGGTGGCAAAGTTATGTAAACTTCTTAGATATAACCAAACACTCTGAAAGAATTTAATTACTGTGCCTGAGGGCTCAGAATCATAGTTTGGAGTACAACAAAGTCCATTGGCATAACATAGGACACAAAGACAATATTCTCCATTCTGTTTTGGTACATACAGCTTTAGGAAAGTCTGCTCTGAAGGACCTCTCCAAAGTCCTGAGGTGCAATGATGTAAATTTGAGGAATAAGGTGAGCCTGACTCAAGTAATTATTTTTCCAATCACCTGCTATGCATCTGAAAGAGATATGTATTGGAAAATGCACACCTAAAGTGCTGCTTAGTGGCAAGGATGTCAAAGCTTCATCTCACCTACATTGGGCTAGTGGTTATATGATTATGAGGGGTTATTCCTTGGAAAAGGATATATCCTTGTGGGAAAGGTGGAGGGACAGTGAAAGGAGGAAGACCCTCAAGGAAATGAACTGACTCAAGTGACTACAGCAATGAGCTTAAGTGTATCAGAGAGGATGACAAAGATGGTACAGGATAGGACAGGGTTCAGACGTGTTGTTCTAGTGTTGCTATGAGTTGTATTCATCTTAACAGCACCTAACAACAACAACTCTGATGATTAGCAACTGGGATCTTAAGAGCCTGTGAGCAGCCATGTAAGCTACAGCTATTGGTCTCTCCCATCCAGAGTCAACAAGAGGGAAGAAAAGATACATGTTTCCATTCGATACAAAGGATTAACAGACCAACAAATCTCAACTCCCATGAAGCTGAAATGAGAATTGGAAGGTACCCAGTTATGCTCTGAAAGAGATCACAGTAGAGGGTCGTGGACAGAGTGGAAGAAAAGTCTGGAACAAAACTCAAAATCACAAAAATGACCAGGTTTACTGGTCTTATATAGACTGGTGGAACCTCTGAGGTTATGGCCCTTAAGTCACCTTTCAAATATGGAAAGGAACTCACCTCACCCCTCAACCACTACTCAATAGCTAATGGCTGTGTATTAATTTAAAAAAAAATATATGCACCTAATCATGAGGTTAGGAAGCTGTGGTGGCCTAGTGGTTAAGAAGTTGTGCTGCCAATTCTTTCAGATCCACCAGCTGCTCTGTGGGAGAAAGACAAGCAATTTCCTCTTGTGAGATTTAAAGTCACTGAAAAACTGGGGGAGGGCCTGCCATGAGTTGGTTCCAACTTGATGACATAACAGTAAGAGGAATCATGAAGGTAAGGGGTTTGGGGTGGGTATTTCCCCCCCTTTTAAATATCACTTTATAAAAAGGTTGTGACTAGACTTACTGAAGAGCAACAATGTCAGTCTGAAGACTAAAGTGTGCCTGATCCAGGCCATGATACTTGTAATTACTTGCTATGCATCAGAGAGCTGGAGTAAAGATGATAGAAGAATCGATGCTTTTTTAAAATTAATTTTAATAAAACTTTACAGAGACTTAGGGTTTCCAGTTGTTCATTGTTACACTTTTCTCACTGCCCACCCCCTCCCCACCAATTCACTTTTCTCCTTGATCAGCAAAAGAAAAACTCTTTCCATTATTATGCAATCCCTGCCCCCAAGTCCAATGCACTGTGAAGCCTTCATTCTGGACTCCTGTCATGACAATAATATCTAATCATATATCCCTTTTAAACAGTTCTCTCCATCATCTGTTGCAATGCGGTATTCATCATTCCTCCCCTTTTCCTCTGTCTTCTCTCAACCCTGATGTCAGTCCTATTTTACAATAGTGGCCCTATGCAATATTTGTCCTTTTGTGACTGAGATATTTCACGAAGCATATTGTTCTCTAGGGTCATCCACTTAGCATAGTATTTCATAAATTCCCTGTTTTTCAGTGCTGCATAGTATTCCATTGTGTGAATAGACCAGAGCTTCTCTATCGAGTTGTGCTTGAAAAAACTGTTGAACTGTAATCCATGGCAGGGGATAATTTGTATAAAACTCAAAATGCATTGCATTCAAATCAGAACCAACTCATTCCTGATCCTCCCTCCAGAGGTGTGTGGAGG